ATTTTCAACATGGGAGTCAATGAGGATTTGCTCGCTTCTGACACCAGCCACCAGTGGATGAGGGTGGAACTGCAATTTATTTCATTTCTGGGTTTGCTTCAATTTTTCACGCACATTGTGGGGGCTTGCACCACGCTCAGGACAATCCAGACCCTTCTCACGCATCGTTCCCCAAAGGTGGAATGACCTTCCAAGCACTACCAGAACAGGAGCTTCCTTTTCGATTTTCAAGAAACTCCTGAAGACCCTGCTCTTCAGAGAGCATCTTCTAAACTAGCACCCCTCCCTGCACCTGTCCCCCCTCTCTCTACTGTCCACTTCTTGTCCCCTCCTTTCCATGATTGATGTCAAGTTGTTGTTGTTATTGTTGTTGTTAGCCTCAAGGGCAACATGCCGATTATCACTTGTAAGTCGCTTTGGACAAAAGCATCTGCTAAATACATAAACATAAACATAAACCTAAGTAGATAAATACTTATCTGGTGTTAGTACTTTGGATGTTTTTTGGTAGGGAGCATTTTCTACACTTACTACAGTAGCTTGTCTCCGACATCACAGGAAGTGTTGATGTTAACCATCATGCAGCTAGCTTGCTGTTATAGTTCTGTAAAACGGCATGATTGACTCATTATTCAATTCACACACACACATTTCACCGTGAGTTGTTGGTAATTGAAAAAGTAGCTTGAAATATTTTTAGAACCAACTATTTGCTTCTAATTCACTGTTAGCATTCTTAGCTCAACATTAGCCTCTAGTCTGCGTCACCCGATACTAGAGTCAAACAAAAACAAGTGGCTACTTAGGGGTGCAAGAAATAACTTCTGGGTCGCTCCTGTTTGCCAGCTTTGATTCTTTGAACAACTCTGGAGCTTTTTGTCTGCTGGTGTCTAATTATAAATTCCTGTGGTGCAGCGTTGGCTTGGTGCAGACTCGGCAACCTCACAGACTCACTGCTTGTAAACAGTAACCAAATGTCCCTCTTTATTTTTATGAGAAACCCCCCATAGCTGACTGAGAATTAAATTGGTATCAGTATAACCTTCCTTCCCATATGACATTAGACTGTTTTGTGATATTTCACTGAATACGTTTTACATGATGCTCCTTTAGGGGATGAGAGTGGAGAAATAATGTGCATGCATATTTTAGCATGTATGCACAGGATGAAGCCAGTATGATGCTTAGAAGAGGAATATGCATGTGAATGTATGCAGATAAGTGTGATCTAGGGTATTGCCATGAGCAGCAGTTTGAAGGTGGTGATATATGTCAAGGTAGTGGAAATAGTAGAGTTGTGGGGGATAGTAGTGAGTGGTGTCATGGTCTGGGTTGTACAATAGACAAAAATGAACCAGTGATGGAGAGTCTGTATCAGTGTGGAAGGAAGCATTAGTGGGGATGAACGTCCATTTTTTTAGGTTAGTAAGTACAATTCTTAGACATAGCTCCTTCTAGGGTCGTGCAGCCCCCCCAAGGTGCTTTACAGTCATTCACCCACACACACATTGACACACTGGTGGTGCTGAGCTGCATTGTAGCTATGGCTGCCCTAGGGTTCAATGATGGGAGTGATGCTGCTGAACCCTGGTGCCACTGGTCCCTCCGACCAGCGTCTTGCTCAAGGACACAGCAACTACAACACATGGGGCTCAAACCTGCAACTCTCCAGTTACAATGCAGGCTCTTAACTCCTCTGCAACAATCACTCCATGGTTCATAAATGGTCAGGGGGTCTGTAATGTGCTAAGGGGCTTGACTGATGTTAACATATTATAGTGTGCTCATAGTTTGTTCTCGTCCTTCAACAAGAACCGAGTCAATAATAAAAATACAGACAAGGCAACGTACTTGTCTCAGTCTGCAAAATAATAAATAACTGTCAGCACCTGTCAGAGGGTTTTAGATACTGACGTTCATTTTGAAAGTCAGGCCAGCGGAGTGCGGTTGTGGTTGAAGCACTAAAATGAGCAACGTTCTACTTTCTGTCTTCAAATCAGAAACCAGTGAACCCATTCAACCAGCAGCCCACCAGTTCACTTACATAAAGGTCGGACCTTACAAAGTCTACTTTAAATTCATCTCATCAATCATCATCACAGAATTCCTGAAAATTAAACTTTCACAAAGCTACAGAAAAACGAAATCGAGGAACATCAAGGGTGTCACTTAGATGATAATTGGTGTGATTATGTTCTGTTATGAAGGCAGGAACACTGTGTGCTGTTATTGTGCTGCTTCAGAAGAGATTTCAGCCGGATGTGATGCCCGGACAAAACGTACTAAATAACAATGAGGACGAACTAAAGCAAGTCACTGATTTTAAGAGCTACTTCTAAACCCTCTAAACTTTGGTTTCATTTAAACTTAAACCCAAAGATGTTTTGCCCACTTGCTTCACTTTATGTTTGAGTTTGTTTAATGCTGCTAGATTTAAAAAATTCCCAATAAAACCTGCCCTAGATTTAGGCACTAAAGAGACAAACGCGTTTTACTATTAATCTCTGGAAAAATCTATGGAAATGTTCTTGAAAGTGAAATAAATTATGCCCAGTTGTTGGAATATATTGGCGGCTTTCTTCATGGACCTCCAGCACTACCAATGATGACGGTGAAAGAGTTCTCGTTGGACAAGTGTGTGGCAGGAGGGTCACAGATTACGGCTCTCACAGTGAAATTAATTTGACTTCTTGGAAAGTCCCAGAAACCAGAAGAAAATCAAGACTGCAGATCTGGTGTGTGTCACATTAGGTCAGATTACAGGAATCTGCTCAGCGAACCTCTGATCCACCGGTTCATGAATAACAGACTAACACACACAAAGCAGCTGAAGAGTAAAAGAAGGGAAATAAAGACTGAAAAGGTCACAAATTCTCCAGCAAAAGATGCTTCTGCACTGTCGAAAACGCGTCTATCATCGAAATTTTCTTTCCCTATTTAGAAACAAATTTCTAAGCACCCCCAAATCTGAGACCATGGTTCTCGACCGAAAAAGGGTGGCTTGCCAACTCCGGGTCGGGAGAGAGGTCCTACCTCTAGTGGAGGAGTTTAAGTATCTTGGGGTCTTGTTCACGAGTGAGGGTAGGAGGGATCGGGAGATCGACAGGCGGATTGGTTCGGCGTCTGCAGTGATGCGGACGCTGAGCCGATCTGTCGTGGTGAAGAGGGAGCTGAGCCAGAAAGCCAGGTTCTCAATTTACCGGTCAATCTACGTCCCAATCCTCACCTATGGTCATGAGCTTTGGGTAATGACCGAAAGAACAAGATCGCGGATACAAGCGGCCGAAATGAGTTTCCTCCGTAGGGTGGCCGGGCTCAGCCTTAGAGACAGGGTGAGGAGTTCGGACATTCGGGAGGGACTCGGAGTAGAACCGCTGCTTCTCCAGATCGAAAGGAGCCAGTTGAGGTGGTTTGGGCATCTGGTCAGGATGCCTCCTGGACGCCTCCCTGGCGAGGTGTTTCGGGCATGTCCTGCCGGCAGGAGGCCCCCGGGTCGACCCAGGACACGTTGGAGAGGTTACATCTCCAATCTGGTCCGGGAACGCCTTGGGGTCCTGCTGAAGGAGCTGGTGGAGGTGGCCGGGGAGAGGACGGTCTGGAGCTCCCTAGTTGGGATGCTGCCCCCGCAACCCGGACCCGGATAAGCGGAGGAAGACGACGATGACGAGAAACAAATTCTGTTTCTCACTTAGCATTAAATAGATTTTTATCCATGAAGCCATTTCTGGACTCCATTTTGGGAGGGGAGGCTTAACCCTTTAAGACCTGCCATAGAACAAGTTTGCCAGAACTTACATTTACATTTGTACGAGCTGCAGTGCGATTTTTTTTGGAGTATTTTAACTTTCCTTACATCACTACAGCCCTTACATTCTAAATTTTAATTATATAAATGTAAAATGTTCATAGCAACAAAATATTTTACACAAAAAATGCAATTATCCATACAGAAATTGAAAATAGTTTTTTGATTTTACACATATTTTTCATTATACAGAAATGCCACAGCTTTATCCGTCAAAATTGTCAATGGAAAAAAGTTTCACACAATCCTTTCAAACAACCACAAATGAATTTGAAGTGCGTCCATAATTTAGTTTCTGAGATACACTCATTTATATAAACAAAAACGAAAACATAAATAATAATAATCTGCAGGAGTCTAAAATAATAATGTTGAATATTTGTAGCTAATTTTTTAGGAGTATAAAGTTTTCCTTTTCTCTCACTAAAAATAATAATAATAATAATAATAATAATAATGAAGAATATTGCATGATTATATATGTGAGGAAACTGAAAGTGAAACTAAAACATCACCTGGCGCTGTAATGGCGTCATCTGCTTCGAGGATGGAGGATGTACCGTTTGGCGGGTCCGTGAGTCATCAAAACGTTCGTAGTGGTGTGTGTGTGTCGGGAGTTTTTTGTGGATGTGTGAGTGTGTGTGTAGGATGTGTTTGTAAAAATGTATTATTGCAAAAAAGCACAAGAAAAAGCCAAAAGACTGGGATTACAAAGAACTACAATTCGCGGGAAAATGACGTCAAAGCAAGTGATTGGGTGAGTGATAATAATGTGACAATTCACGTTGACAACGTGATGATGTTTATTCTAGCATGTGAAGCCCTGTGAGCTGCAGATGAGAACGACACAGCGTCTGTCTGAATGAAAACACTTTTCTTATTTGCGCATTTTGATTGTTTTTTGCAAACTCATTAGCGGAAATACGCAGCGCTTTGGAACATGTTCAGTGTGTGAGATTTAAGTGTACCTCCTCCGGTTTAACATGCAAAAAAAAATGTTGTTTTATCTTATATAGTTTCAGTTTTACAAGCATCTGAACACAGATGTGCAAATGGCCCGCCGGTCTTAAAGGGTTGATACAACAGAGTAAATAACTTAGTTTTCTTGATTAAAGTTGACAAAAGTCTGATACAGCATTGCGCAGTTTAAGAGTTAAATCAACCATTGGATAATTCCCAGTTCTTTACTATTTACCTTGATCAAGGTCATACTCCTCTGTGGTGCTGACAAAGTGAGGTCTGGAGTAGAAGTTATGAGGTCCCGGCTGCTGAAGTCCCCCCAGGCTGAAGAGGCTTCGCTCGTTCGAGGCACAGCAGGAGAAGGCCCTCCGACTGGGGATGCAAGGGTAACTTGTCCAGCTCTTTGTCTCCAGGTCAAACGCCTCCAGAGCCGTCACTGGCATCTTCCCCTGACGACCGCCTGAGGAAAGAATGTTTAAACATACATGTAGGATCAAAAAAATTAAGAATGCACTTTAAAAACAAGCATCAATGTGAGGAAACCAACGACCAAAGACTTGAATAAGACCAGCTTTTATGTTGGGTTAAAAAGCAAAAACAAAAGAGCTGGGCATTCTGCCAGGAAGTCTACGAGCTGTTTACTTCAACAAATCCCACCAAATACAACTACAAGGGAGAGGAGAGACAGGGAGCAGACTAATGAGGGAGAAGGCAGAAAATGATTCAGAGAATGTTGTTACTGGGGTGACGTGCGTTAAGGAGGAGGCTGTCAAAGAGCTATGGAGGCAAAGGAAGAGAAAATGCAGAAATAAATGCAAAGAAGAAGATAACCAAAGGAGTCAATGACAGAGAACATTTTGGAGCGAGGAGAATGTGGAGGAGTAAAAGAAGAAAGTGGAAGAGGGTCAGCTAGAGTGGGCCGTACGGCGTGGAGATCGATAGCAAAAAGGAGTCAACGTGAGTGGGAAGCTTTAGAGAAAGAAGAAGGCATTTCAAGGATTAAACAGCAGATGCGCTGATTGCAGCAGAAGGACGCTTTTGTGTGAGACTCAACAATTAAACATCAGACTGAATCCTCAACATTCACAAGAGACTCGTGTAAAAACGGCCGAGACCCATCGCTCTCTGGAATCCTCGATTCCATCAGAGTGGCCAAATTCAGGAGGTCAGAGCTTTCTTATTTAGCACATTGCTCCGACTTGCACCGTATTTAGCTGAAGGCTTTTAGGCCAAGAAGCAGAAGTTTAAAATGCTAGCAGGCCGACCGCCCGGAACTGCGTACAGCAGGTGAACTAAACACTTTAAACTGTTGCTTCAAAACTTGTTTCTGGTTCTTGAGGCAGAAACATGAGCAACTTCACGTTGGACAGCACTCTGTAACTCTCCGCAGACCAGAAAATAATGAGGTCTCTACCCACCTTCTGTAGCTGCTTACTGTGCCCGGTAGCTCATTTAAAGGCTAGCAGTTAGCGTTTATAGTCATAATATACATTATGGTGGAACCTGGAAGTAAAAGTATGAGGGTAATGCCTTTGGAGGCAATCAAAAAGCTAAAACCAGAGGGGACATCGGCACTGCCTACACTCTTGAGAGCTAAAGAGGCTATGAACCACGGACTGATGGTGACCTAGCTTTGTTGCTACTGAACTTGTAAAGAATATTTATTTTCCAACAGATTGGATCTTTTTACTTTGTGGCTTATTTAGAATTAGCTGGCTCGTGTTAGCGTTAGCATGTTGTTAAAGCTAGCTAGAGCAGGGTTCGGCAGGCTGTTGACAACTGTTGTAATTAAGCTTCCAACCAGTAGGAGGGAGAAGCTGGAAATGTAATAAATGTTGCTTTAATGTTTTTAATATTCTTCCATTTTCATTTCACCGTATTGTTGCAACAAACCTGGCAGCTAAATTACCTGTACCATCTGTTGGTTTAGGTGTCACAAATCAACATAACTTCATTTGAGGCTCATTGTCAGTATCATATGCTCAAGAGTCAAGCTTGTGTTTCCCAACAAAGTAAATAACTATAGGTTATTTTTTATAAAAATACACGTTTGTCAAAACATGAAGAAATAGAAAAAAATTAAATTAAACTGTTTAAGGTGATTTTTTAAATGAAACACCTGCTTGGCTGTAAGAATAAAGCCCCTCACCAAGCTGAAACTGAACATAATCAGTTGGAATCATGTTAAATCAGCACTCATGAAACTTTTGCATAAGTTTGCTTTTTATTTTTACAAATTAGTCACAGTTTATTAAAGAGCAAGTCACCCCCAACTCAACATTTTTAAATCTGATAAACCATATAAATGCGTGTCTAATCGTGCTGCAGACACGTGTAGTCAATAGTTTAGCACTTTAGTGCATTTTAGTTAAAATTTAAATTTTCTGCCTAAAACTGTCAGTGTTGTGCCATTGTCAAGTAAAAACTCTGCACTGCATTTGAATTTAAATCTGCCATCGCTATTGGCTAAGAGGTACCCTAGAATGTTAGCTGGTACCATATGATGTCACAATGTCGTTGTGAGCCTGTGTGTGTGTATTTGTTATTTGCTCTGCCCTCTCGGTCTGCTAGGCAACAGCATTTGTTGCCTTTTTCAAACAGGAAGTGGGAGTGGAGTAAGACTGCTAGGGGGTGACTTGCTCTTTAAATAAGTCCTAATTTGTTTGCACATTTATTTTTCTTTAATTTTAGATTCTCCATTTTGTTTCTCAACCTTTAACAAAGTTGTTCCACATGTCTCATATTTTCTGACTCTTAGAAAACTTCTTTAATAGGGGCTGCAGGCACCACTGGTGAAGCTATTTTAAGGGGACACTTGTTTTGGGTAATATTAAAAACTTCCAGTCACATGAGTGACACGCAGGAAGGAAAACGAGAACCCTTTCGCACATTGCTGAACTCCCTCTGGTGCCCCTTTGATGCCAACAGTTGCACATTTATGCTTTTAGCATTTTTTCATGTTTACTCTGGGGGATTTCAGCGCATTATTAAATCATCTTTATTAAAGCAATGCAGAAAACAGTTGAGTTACATAATCTCTGTGCAGAATCACGCTATAAACCATTTACTTGCCTTGATGTTCACATCAGTTCTTTACAGTACGTATACAAAAACTCCAGCCTATGCAATGTCAGGAAGGCTAAACTGTGAAGTACACAGGTGGCAGTAAAACAAAAAATTCAATTCAACTTAGTTTTTCATCTTGTTAGACATTTTCATTCCTACTCATTGTCACCATTTTACACTTATTGTTTGAATATCGGATCAACAGAGCTCATTTACATCAGATTCTAGCTGCACTCTTGGTCCTAGTGCTCAGTCAGTCTATTTAATATAGCCTCATATTGTTTTTGGACGGTAAAAAGTGCAGTGGACAAAAGTTGACTTTGGAAAAAGTGTGTGTGTGTGTGTGTGTGTGTGTGGGGGGGGGGGCGGTCCCCCCTGCCCCCCCAAGGTTACACTCATGATAACTGTCTTATGTGCTGTGAGTCCAAGTACTTTAGCTCAGTTACGACCCGTCCAGAAGGCTGCAGCGAAATTTTTGGCAGGCAAGCAAAAGTTCGAACATGTTACACTGACTGAGTTTAGTTTTTAATAAACGGTAGAAATTTCAATTAATAATTAGTTATTTATGGTTTAATTATTCTGCATTTGAATCTGAAAAAGAATCTCTGGAAGGAGGCAGGAACATTTTGATTGGAATCCTGTTGCTGCTGGTGTTCATGTCCAGTAAGTATAAGATGCTCTTCATCTGGTTTCACAGGACAAGTCTTTATTTTTGCCCACAAGCAATTTTTAAGTGCACATGTTGACTATCCTTGACTTGTAAGCTAAATCCTTAATTCAAACACACACACACACACACACACACACACACACACACACACACACAGCATGAGACCTGATGATTCATGTCGTATACCAAGTCACCCACCCACTGATCCCAACTAATCCCAAAGACCAGCAGCCGCTCACAAAGCTGCAAAACACAAATTCAACTTTTCAAGAGCTACAAATGAGCAGGATGTGACAGAAAAGTATTGGGAGAAAAAAGTTTCAAAAGATCCGAGCGTGTGTGTCTAGATTTGTACATGTGTATCTAAATTTGAGAGATACTATATTTTTCCACAGAAAAACAATTTTGTCCCGTCAATCCAAGTTTAGACTAAATCCAAAGGAAATTTGGATTTCCCAGCTCCCACCAAGCATACAAACACACCATGTACGCACAAATCAGTCAGGTGTGAAAAGAGTCTCAAAAGGATTTTTGTACTTGTAAACTGATCAGTGTGTAATGTAGTTTTGTCCGTGTTTACCAGGTGATTTGTGTGTGTGTACTCAATGATTTGTAGCTGAAGTTACACACAAAAATGAAAACACAAGTTACAAATCAAGAGTTACACACACACACACACACACACACACACACACACACACACACACACACACACACATCTAGATACACATACACAAATCTAGATACACACACACAAATCTAGATCCACACACATATCTAGATACAGACACACAAATCTAGATACACGCACATAAATCTAGATCCACACACACACACAAATCTAGATATGCACACACAAATCTAGACACACACACACAGATCTAGATACTGACACACAAATCTAGATACACATACACAAATCTGATACACACACACAAATCTAGATACAGACACACAAATCTGATACACACACAAAAATCTAGATCTGACACCTGAGAATGTCCTAAATTGTGCAGTAACCACCACAATCAATATCAACTGAACAGACTGCTTAAGTTTTGCTGTTGTACTATTTTCATATTTTAAACAAAAGATGATTCCCATTTCTTACCCATCACATAGATTATGTTTCCTATTACGAACGGTGAGGCTCCGTAGCGTGGCGTCGGCATGGCGGTCACCGATTGCCACTGGTCCTTCTCTGCATCGTAGACTCTCACAAACGCCTGAGGCGTCGTGTCTGCTCCCATTCCGCCCAGGGCATACACTTTCCCATCTGCAGAGGCAAAAACGACAGGAAACAAAAAAACTTTAGAAAACTTAACATTCCTGCATCGGTGACACAACGTGGTGAACCGGCTATTATTAGATAATTGGAGAAAATTACAGAAATATGTTGTTCGCACCTGCAAGAAGCCAGAGACAATGATGCATCACTGTGCCCTTTTGTCCTGTCATTATGCTCCAGCTGTGATATCTGCTTTCTGTCTCATCGCTCCACTCTCATCTGTATTATTTATGTCTGCTGTCAGAGAAATGACCCGTGAACAAGGTTTTCTCAAGGGCACACACGGACATCTTCAGCTACTGCAGTGTCATTAGAATAAAGGGAGAAGGAGGGAGAAAACTACCGAGCAAGCCAACATGATGCTCATGCTGAAACACTGCAGCAGGAGAAGAAAGAGAGGAAAACAAGAGCATAAAGCATGAAACCTAAACTGTTTTATCTTAACTATCCATTAGTGGAGATTAAGTTGTGACGAAGCAAACAAGAGAGAGGAGGGAGACTCTTAGTTGCCCGCTCAGATGATGGATACGCAGAGTTGTGACTTAAACTGTGAACAACAAAGCAATAATAAATCTGTCTCCACACGTGCTTCAGCCGTCTCACTGAGTAAATCAGATCCTACTGCGGTGCATTAAGTGAGCAGTGCAGCGAGAACACGGTCGGAGCATGAAGCACGGCATTATGCATGCACTAGGAGAGGCGCCGCAAGGCAGGATCACCACATCACCGGGGAGGTTTCAGGCACCATCATGGAATCTCCCAAAGAGCTTTGGAAGGCACTGCAAAAAATCAAACACTCTCTAAAGAACGTGGCGCATTTGTGTCTTTGCAGGGGTGGAGTCATTTTATCTGGTGGGATTTTAGACATCGCCAGTAAAATGTGTGGGATGTCAAGATCTTCATGAACTTTTCAACAGTTTCTGTAAAGAAAACCAAAATGGTAAAATAATACAATGAGAAATACTTTCAAGCAGTAACTGTCAATCCCCTAAAAATATTAAATCATCAACAAATAAATGCCAGATCAGATTTAAGAGTTCAACCAAAAACAGCTTGATGCTAATCAGAGTTATTTGATTCGTGGAGGTCGCCATTGTTACATCCTCAGACAGAGAGTAACACAGAGGCATGTGCTTCAGGAGCTAAAATTGTAAACAAGGATTTTATTTTTGGGTTTTAAAAAAAAAAGACACAAAGCTCCAAATCTAAAAGTACTTAAAACACTGTTAAAATGGCCATGGGTTTTTGTTTAAAATAGACAACCAAATGCTCCCAGCATTCACAAACTAAGTCCAGTGACTATACACAAGTTTGGGAGCCAAGAGGAAGCCAGCACTCTGGTCCCTCGTCTGTTAAAAGCCTCTAAAAGCTCTTAAGCTTCACTAAGCTCAAACAACTAAAACCCATTTAAAAGTGATCAGTCCAAGTGAGTGCAACTGTGCAGGTAGGAGGAGGAGGAAAAGCATTGACTGTCATCTGCAGCTTCTGATTTTTGGGACAAGCAGCAACAGCTATAACACTTCCTCCCTTAAAAGAAAGAAAAAATTAAAACAAGTTCAACCACAAATTTTTTCTTTCACCTTTGCTTTCTATGGCTTTTATCAGAAACTCTCCAAGTTCTTTGGTCCAACAAGAATTCCCTCTAGCTAATCGGAGGAGCCCTTGCTGATCTCCACCCTAGTCTTCACGGGGCGTAGAGGTGGGCCGATTAAGCACAAATGAACCAGCGGACAGGAGATGTTTATGTTTATTCATTTAGCAGATGCTTTTATCCAAAGCAACTTACAATTTATAACCTATAACCTATAGAGCATGTTGTGAGGAGAGCCTATCTCTCCAAATCCCTGGGATGCTCCTGAGATGGTAGAATTTCCACCAACGCTAACCTCCATAACACCAACACTAGAAAAACAAAAACCAGGACACATCCTAAAGAGGGTGCACTCCTACGGCCTATAGGGAATTCACTCTGTTCACTTTAAAATTTCATGAGCACAACAGAATGAAACAAAAGACATACAATACCGGAGAGGACACAGCAGACTGCACATCTTAAAATCCTATAAATAAAACCTGTTTGCAAAAAGCATGTGCCATTAAAAGTCCTTTGTGGGATGGTTGCATAATCCCGGACGAGCCCCCATTGTGTTACATCCTCTAAAAGTGGAAAAAGGAACAGCCATCTTGCATCAATGACAACCTAAAACGTAGCAATTCCTACCCTATTATGTTTACTTGTCTCAGTTGTGGTTTTCGGAGAGTAATTTCAGATTCATCTGGGTCAGTGTACCTTTTTGATATTTCAATTTTTGTTATGAAAGCAAAAACGAAGTGAGGGGGGAATAGGGTCTTTATAATTCTATAGTAAAAAAAAAACACAAAAGTCACAAAGTTTAAAATAACTCACGCTTTTGTGAAATTGTGTGTGTTGTGTCCAAAAAGAGTGGTTTGTGGGATCGATGCTGACTTCTAACTTTTATTTATTGAATAAATATTTTAACACCTGTCAATACACAGTAGTGTATATTAAATTAAACGTCAAACTAATACCTATATAAAAATAATTTTTAATTATTGTCCGCACCCATCTTCAAGCCACACCCATCTTTATTATCAACCCCACCAATATTAACAAACACAAATAAATAAAAAACTGACGCACTTTGGGCTTAAACTCAGCTCTTCAGAAAACTACAGGTGACGGCTTGGAGGGTTGTTCTAGATTATAAAGAAAGTTATTTGTAAAAAAAAATTTTACAGTGAAGAAACGACCAACTCAGCACAGTAAATATAAAAAATGAATATTGGGAAGAACAAACTTTGCCTCAGAGTTAAGAAAATCTGCAGCTGCATGAAAAGCATTTCATTAAGAAACTATCGGTTTTACTGAAATGAAGACTCAACGGAGCTTTTAAACTCAGTCTTTGGTTTGTTTGGTTTTATGAGACAATAAATCAAAACTGTTTCACAAATGATGTCCATAAGAAAAGAGAATTTTCTTTACTTAGTTGAACATATCTTCATTTGTGACGTTTTACCGACCAGCAAATACTCCAAACTCTGAGGAAACAACTTTAGTTCACTACTGCAGGACCAATATTTTGTGTCAGTACTTAAAAAGAAGAGTATTTAACCCTTTGGTGCATGATGGTCACTACAGTGGACAGGTACTCAAAATTGTTATTTCTTTATTTTTGCTATTAAGCACAGCTGTTGAAGACTTTATTGCATTTGAGCACCTCCATTTGGACTTCAGTAAGTCAAGCCAACATATTTCATGTTCAGAATGCACACTGTCCGCAGGGGTGGACATGTAATAAATTATTTGTAAATTAACAAAATGTTACAAAAAATATTTGTTGAAATTTGTTTCATTCACACCTCAAGGTGAATGAAAAAAATTGTTTAAAAAATCTTGGTTGAAGATTTCATAATTCATGCATCAGAGGGTTAAGATGTGCCACAATGACATCAATGGGATTTTTTATGGTTGTGTGTTTGTCATAGTTACCATAATAACCGTAGTACCCATGTTACCCAGCATTGACAGCTTGTTTGGTGGCTCATCTGCCAATAATCAGCGAGACTAATTCCTCCCAAGACCAGAATGCTATCGTAATATCTTAAAACAGCTGTAAGTCTTTGTTTCTTGTATAAACATAAACATTTACACCACCAGCTCAAGATGATAAAGTGCATCTTTACAACCTAAACATCATGCATTGCGCCCTCTTCAGGTTAAAACTCTGTACTACACTGAATTAGAATCAGCGACTGCTACTGGCTTAGAGGCACCCTGTGATGTTGCCTGTACCATATGATGTCAGCTGCACTGCTGCTGTGGGGATAAAAGCCACCGAGTCTCGGGCTTGGCTACTCTGTGGTGAGTCGGTGTCAGAATCAAGGGTTTACGCCTCGGCCCGTCTACAACGTGCCAACCCTTCAGTTTCATAATCATGGCTGGTGTCGGTACAGGATCTGCTCGGGTGCAGGATCAGCTCGGGGTCCTTCGACTGCCGATGACGTTAAAGTAGTTGATTGGCTGAACATGAAGCTTACAGAAGTTACGTTATCACATTATGATTTTGATTGGTCAGAACAAATTTGCGGTTGTAGTCTTAGCGGTTGTAGTCCTGTAGTCCAAAACTCAACACTTTTTGGAGAAAATATGTTTGAATTTCTAAAGGAAATGTAAAATATAAGCAAATGATAAACAGTGACCCTCAAAAGCTCTTGATGTTGATGAAATGGGGCAAAATAAAATATTAGAACTTTATTGCAAGACACCAAGAAATATTTTGAGTCAAATAATGTATTTAGATAACAACTAAGGAAATATACAGACAAACTTTACATTAATACAAACAGACATGGCTTCACATACAAGAACTGTTCTATTTTTTGTCAGTCCGATGTTGGTTTTATGCAGTTTCACATTCTTTACAAAACAAAGATAATATGGTGTTTTATTAACAAATAACAATTATAAAGAAAACATTTAGGTGTTACCAAACAAGAATTTATTAACAAAACTGCTGATGTCTTTCCAAAACGTGTGTGTGAAAGCCAAGTAGATTTACTGTAATGTGACGTCATCGGCAGTCGAAGGACCCCGAGCCGATCCTGCACCCGAGCAGATCCTGCACCGACACTGGCAACACCCAATCACCAGCCAAATAAAGGATTTTATGCTTTTTACTACCTTTATTGTGCAACTTAAAGGGTTTTGACCAACAAGTCAATTCTACATTTTTATGTGGTACAGGGAGGAAATTGGACATTGGTCTACACAAGCACAATCTCTTTTAATTAAGGGTCTCTTGTGTTCCCATCACCCCAGGAGACGTCATGGCAACAAGACAGAAATACTCAGACTGTTAATACATGCTGGTGGTTTGGCAGGTCGGTGCTTTCCAAACAAAATCCATCACAGCTCAATGCCAGAGCATCAAATCTCTACCTGGAGCGAACTAATCAATCGAATGATG